CACAATAAAACGCCATCTCAAAAGGTCCATTTACTTATCCAATCTATCTCTACTGCCATTAAATTTTCTCTCATTGTTTATGTCAGCTTTAACTCAGTGCAATCATGAATCGTCTAATCATCGTGTTCATTGTCGTTACAATGATATGCGCAGCCACTGCCCTGTCGACGAAGAGGAGAATCAATAAAGAAGAAAAAGGTACGTCCAGAATATCTTGAGTAATCGTGTATAAAGCGTAGGCTTACAGAAAGCACAGGTTGTGTGTGTTGTTAATGTATCACTTCTCACTGCTGTGCATGGTTGWGGGATTGATCACTGGACCCCGTCAGCATATGAGATAGTTCGTTTAATTGGTTCTCTGCTGTGCCTCCATCTTCATGTGTCTTCTTGTGTTAAGAAATGATACTCTAGGGAATGACACGAAGAAGAAGAAGAAGTGTAGTATATACCCGTGCGGCTAATCCAAAATAGCAGTTGCTTGAGCTAAAATGTGAAAACAAAACCCCACCGTAAAGTCAAACAGAGGTTTCGGTTAGATCTTAGCGTTTTCGCCTATATTGAATTATTTAACCTAAGTTAATTGAACTAAAGCAATGTTTATGGGGAAAACAACTAAATCAGTTACCGAAAATGGTACTCGTAGCTATGTGGATTTGAAAAAATACGCGAAGAATTTCATTAAAGATTGACCTATGCCATCTATRCTATGACCTAGGGAAACACGGGTTGTGTAGCGGTGAGAGCGTTCACCTCTCACARGACCCGCGACCCGGGTTCGATTGCCGGACTCGGTGTCGTATGTGAATTGTATGTGAGTGAGTTGTGTCGAATGTGAGTTTGTTGGTTCTTTACTGTGTTTTGAGGGTTTTTCTCCGGTTTTTCCCTATTCCCCGCTAAAATCAACCTAGCGGAAGAAGAGCCACTCTGTGGAACGACTGCGAATTCCCAATCTATTCATTTACGCATAAATATTATTGACACTATAACAGATGAGAAAAGATCCGTAGCCGTGGCTGGCGCCGTCATTGAAGGTGCAACCTTGACTTTCAACGTCCTGCAGACCGTGCTCAAAGCACTCGGTGATATCAGTCGAAAGATTGCCGTCGGTATCGACAACGAGTCGGGCATGACGTGGACCGCAATGAACACATACTTCCGTTCTGGTACCTCTGATATCGTCCTTCCCTATGAAGTTCCACATGGTAAGGCACTGCTCTACAACGGTCAGAAAGATCGTGGTCCAGTTGCGACTGGCGTGGTTGGAGTACTTGCTTATGCCATGAGCGATGGAAACACCCTGGCCGTTTTGTTCAGCATTCCCTTTGACTATAACCTGTACAGCAACTGGTGGAATGTCAAGGTCTATAAAGGACATAGACGAGCAGACCAGAGGATGTACGAGGAACTCTACTACAATTTGTCTCCATTTCGAGGGGACAATGGCTGGCACAACAGGGACCTTGGATATGGGTTGACGAGCCGTGGATTCATGAACAGCTCTGGACAATCCATACTGGAAATTCACGTGACCAAAGCTTGAGATCTTGTTGAAAACAAATCGGTTGAAAAGCTGCCTCGAGAATACTGATGCAAAACTAGCAAATAGACTCTAATTTTACCCTGTAAGAACAAGAAAACTAGATCTTCCCATAACATAAAGACAAATAAAATGAAGCACCAAAAGATATTGTACTTTTATTTGTTGTTAAGTAATCGTAGTAAAGTGCACGCCATATACTTATTTCAATAAAGCTAGTTACCAAAAACCTAGACTGAAGCTGAGATCACGGAGGATCATGGGAAGCCATTCATTTCAAACAAGTAAAGCTTTTTTGATAAACTGCAGCTTGAGCATGCTCAGGAGAGGTGAGACTGTAACTGGTAAACATGTCCATAGATGACTTTCATAACTCAGTTTTTTCAGATAGAGAAAATGAAGCCTTTTTACCAGAAACTATTAATGCTATCTGAGAAAATACTTCACGAAAACTATTTCCAGAAAATTTTGTAGAATTTGACTGCATACCAAAGACGTTATGAAAGAACGAAAATAGAGTTTTCTATGTATATATCACTGGAAGCCTTGGTGGCCTTGTTTTGGTGCATTTTCAAAACTTCAAATGCTCACATCATGTAGTATTTAGTTCAGGTGACCTTCCAAAAATACCATTTGGTAAAGTAGGCATTGCATGCTTGATAGCATCGATTTTTGATAAATGTAATACAGTAGTCCCTTCACAGTTCCCAGCGCCATCTTGAAAGGTAGCTGTGCCTTTGCATCGAAGCAAGACGAACGGTGAGCTTGCGATGATAGAGACCTTTTTTAACACCTTGGAACATTATTCACATGTCTCTATCATTGCAAGCTCACTGTTTGTCTCGCTTCGATGCAGAGGCATGTTTTTCAAGATGGCGCAGTGAACTATGAAGGGGACTATTGAGATATTTTCGTCCTCTAACTCACCAAATCTTCAGTTCAATGCTGTACTCGTCATTAGTAGTCATATTGCTATTTTGAACCTCCAATACCGGTTTTTTGACGATGTTGGGAAAATATAACCCGTATTGGCTGTATTCGGGAAGCTCAAAATCGAAACAGGTTTAGCATCGCGATTTTCCTATTGCGAGGTAATTTTGAGCTGACAATACGAGTTTGTATTGCCGGCTCTCTCCCTATCAAACTTATAGGAGAATCACGATACTATCTGGAAGAGATTGACAATGCATATTAGATATAAGTAGAAATAGAGAGAGAAAGAYAGACAGACAGACAGACAGACAAAGAGAGATACGATGGAAATACGATGTCACAAAATGCACACATCTCGAAAYATTCCTTTTTAAAATCTGCATATTAATAGCGATCTTCAAAGACTTTGATATMCTTGACATCAAACAGTCACGTACTGATATATCACTTTGCCACAAATCAATGGACGACCTCGACGATACGACGGCCAACTTCGGTGGCAAATCGTTTCGTGTGTTTATCTTTCTTTTATTAGTAAAGGTGATCGATGTGCCGTCTTAATTCATCTTTTGTTTTATTTTCTTGTGATGAGCTGTTAATATCTATCATTACTGTAACAAAGCTTTATTTGCCCCCTGGAAGCTCCATAATGTCTTGCGATCCAAGATGGCCGCCGTATCGTCGAAGTAGTTCATTCAGTCCAAGGTCCCTTGGGGAAGGCTGTGCTGCATGGCAAATAAATTTAAAATGCTTTGTATCTTGAAATTGGAAGTATCTTATAAAAGAAAAAAAGTGTTTTTGAAAAGGTTTCGGATATGACATTAGCAATCCAGTCATATCATTATTGTCCTGTAAATGCCTATTGTAACTTCACATGTAATCAGTGGAGTATAAGTCTAGGAAGAATTTTCTACAAAAATCACTCCACTCTACAAAAACCGATATATTTCTGTTCGGCTTGCTCGGCTCAGCTGCTAGTGAAGCCTCTTGTTAGWTGATAATTTATATCTATGAATCTAATAATTGTATTATATCTCTCCTGCTAAAGTACAAGTCGGATAAAAAGTGGTAATCCTGCAAGATTTCGGATCCACTTAYAAAGGCTTTAACAGTAKTCTKTTAGAAGAAATAGAAAACGCACGTGCGTGCTGTGTGGAGTTATAAAGCACGCGATGGTTGGCAAATAACAAGAGAAGTGTTTGGGGAAGCACGACGCGTAGCCGAGTGCTTCTCGACACTTCTCGAGTGTCCTGCCAATCACCAAGTGCCTTATAACTCCATACAGCACAGCACGCAAGTTTTTTCATTTCTTTTACAAAGTAATATCAAATATTGAAATAACCTTTATCTTTAGATAGGAATGCATGACGCAACTGAAAGTGCGCTTGCTTGCGTTGTGCTCTCATAAAGCACCCGTTCCACCCGTTCGATTTATAACAGTTGTTTTATAGCTTTTTTTCTACAGGTATATCGTAGCCTTGTTTATTTTTGCATAGCATATCCTAGAATGTTTTCAGTTTCACTATAAAAAGAACTGGCAAATGAAGAGAACTCCTCGATCGTAATTAGTATTTTAATAGTGACGATGTCAAGTCCTATGAAATACTATAGGATATAATGCTAAATTACAAGTGAAAAGCGGTGATAAATGATAATCGATTAACATTACAGGCGACTTACTTAACAATGAAAAGAGTCCTGTTACTCACGAGTGAGCAAAGCACATAATCCAAGATGGCCGACCTAGCATTCACTGGTCAGCGGTAGCTGAGTCATGGCTGAGCCTAGTGACGGCCAGCGGTAATCTATTCAGGAAAAGCGAGTTTACAGCCGTCATTATAAAGTTAAATAAGTCCGACTGAAGATATTTTGAAACAAGTCTCGACTAGTCACTAGTCTTCATCGGACGAGTTGTTTGAGATGGGCTTGTTTCGAAATATTTCCAGTAAATAAATTATTTTTTTAAATTTGATTTTACAACTGGATGTGTAACTTGCGTAAATTTACAGTCGGCATATTTGTTTCAACTTTATTCTGCTCAAAAGGTGTCGACCAATAAGATCATGCGATCTTTGTAGGTTCATGTGTCGGTAAGATATACTGTTAACTCTGTTTACTTCCTATTCCACGGTAAAATACTTGAATAATTTTTCTTTCTTTTTGGATTTAAAAATGTATCAAGCTATAACTCAATGAAACTCAATGAATTAAAGCGTTTTTTCGAAAAACAAAAGTAAAAACTTTATTCCTAAATCAAAACGCATGATAGATCAATAAACTACACTTAAAAACGAAATTCACGTAGTACATCAAGTTTCTCTTTGAGCACAAACAATATTTTTTTATGGTGCAATTTTTTCTGAACATCTTTGGGAGTTTCGTCGGCATTTAGAGTTCATCGATTTTCATTACCGTGCTTTGTTAATAAACGTCCAGGGGTTCAATTCTTACGTGGAAACGATTCTTAGCAACGTAATGTTTTCGAATTCTGGTTGCGTAAGAAACAAGTTTTGAACACCAGAAACTTTGATACCCATAATCATTTTATGGACTACAGTCTCGTGTTAAATATCTAACCCGAGTTGGCAAATTCAACAACCAGATTATAACATACGAATGTCAAGCATCATGACCTTTGTAATGCTTATGCTGAACGTATGTTGGTGTTTGAGTCTGATAGAAGGTATGTGGAACGTTTATTACTTAAATTTCTTAAATCCTTTTGAGTAAGTTTGAAAATTATGTTCTTCGACAAGCCTTCGAGGGCGAAAGTTTTACGACAACACATTTTACTTTGAAAAATCTGACATTTTCCTCGCAATGCATACTTATCATAATTCTAGTTTACAAGAAAATTTACTGAAAAATTAAGAAGACTGTTGGGTTTTGTGTTCCTGCATTGTTTGAGATGAAACAAATGAAATCGCATTTTTAACATTCAGACAGGTGCACTTAAGGTTCTTCAGCGAAATAGTTTGAAAAGTTATAATTATCGCTTGAATTCGGCGGCGGTATTCCAAATATACCAGTGTTTCAATACAACAAGTGAATGAGAAGGAAACTTAAACGTAAACCGTGTAAAAAAAGTTGATATACGTAACTAAATACGGTGTTTTAAGTGAGGACATTCGAAAATTGAGTATTTTGTCACTTTTTAAAAATGTATATTATTGTAAATCATTTCTCGAGTCAATAGATTAAAAATAAGATTAATTTTGATCCCTAGGTATATTCGAACTCAATGTTTCATTTTATGAGGTTTGAAAAAGTAGAAAGTTCGGGAAATGATATCCTGAAAAACCCTTCGAAGTGTTCATGGTTGGAGTGTTTTCACAATTTTTTGTATTCAACGCAACAACTGACGCAGTCCAAACTAGTAGCCGCTAGTTGTTATCAGTGTCAATATATATTTTATTATGTATGTAAAGAAGTACTGTAAAGGGTCAACGATGACAAGCTGCATGTATGTCGTCTATACGCCAAATTAAGGTTAGCACCGGTGGCGTGCGCTGAAAACCTAGAAAAAACCTAGTTTGGGCCTAGCTATGTTGTGATTGTCCCACGCTTATATACAACAGCGAAAGCTTTGTAGATTTTTTTAAAGTTTACTTTCAAGGCTCATGTATTTTGCCAAAATAATTTTTTCGCCAATGAACTCTTTAACGGTAAACTTTCATATGATATAAACAAGAAAAAATTTTATTCTGAGCGAGATTTTTATTACTCATTGCTGCCAAATATCTAGCTACGCAGATGTGAATGTGAATCAATGTCTTAAAGTATAGGAAAGTAAAGCGAATGCAGATTTTCCTGAAATAAGATTTTAATCTTAAAAAACGTTTTGAAGTGTTTTTCAGATTCTTATTTTCTAGGTTTAACTCATGTTTTACAAGAATATATCTAAGTCATATTTTGAATTGCATGAGGCTTACCCAATGAGATTAGTAGTTAACTGACAACTGGCCAAACAATAGTAATTAACTGAAAAATAACCTAACTGATATTTCGATTATTTTGGTTAAAATGATGGCCAGCGCTCGTAAAATTTTTACAGTTAATTAACTGACATTCGGCCAAAAAAAATAGTATTCAACACGGCAATGGGGTGTCCCCATTGGTCACAAAGATCCTGCACACACTGAAAGTTTTATAGCTGAAACTTGTTGTAACAGCGTCGCGAGAAAAGTTTTATGGGGGTGGTACACCGTGCAATTTCGTCCTGGAACTTGTTCGCGAAACAAGTTTGGGTTGCAAGAGTAGAAAGCGGTTCTACTTTTGGTGAAACTTTCTCGGGACGAAAGTTTCACAAGCCTAAATTTCGCCGTGTAACACCTCCTTGAAACGTGTCTAGCAACACCGTTGAACACAAGTTTCAGCTAAAAGTTTTATCCTGTAACAGGACTCGAAAAGCCTCGAAATATTCAAATATTAAAAGTACTTCATAGTGTAAAGTACAGTCAAGTAAGATTAATATGATGCTGATCAACCGACGCGAAACTAAAAAATTGAATTTCAAGACAAAAAGTGATACTCAGTGAATAAAGGAATGACACTGTTATCGGCTTGAATGGAAAAACGTCTGTTTATTGGGTAAAATTCCAACACCGACTTGTTTTTTTTTTTTCTTTCTTTTTTTTCTTTTTTTTTTCTTTTTGTTTGGGTTTTTTTGTTTTTTGTTTTTTGTTTTTTTGTTTGTTTTGGCTTTTGAATAACGCCAAACTCTGGTATGAAGGACCATCATTGTAGGTGAAAATGAAAATGTTTTCGCTGCTTGGATATTTATTAAAGATGTGATTATGTTTGAAGTAATTTTCATTCGGAATAAAAATTATTCGAAGAAACATAAGCAACTATTGACTTGTTGTTTCTGAAAAATCAAAACATCGATTTTCTTAATTTCTTGCAGCTAATCAATTCCCTTTTGAAGTTTTACTGAAAGAAAACACACAGGATTTAAAATGGGATGAAAACTACGCCAACGAGAAAAACGAGAAATTCCAAAACCTTGCTAATAAGGTACGTCTCATTGAATACAGGTGAAAAGGTTTATTGTGAGGCTTTATTAGTCCTATGGTACTTCATAATGGTAAAAACTTTTGAGGATCGCTAAATACACCTATTGGTAGGAATAGAATAACGTACGTATACGACGTTCCTTCCTTTCGGCAATTGTAAGAAAGTTGCGTGTACATCTAATAGAAAAAATGTCGGGTTCAAGAAGGTCATATCATCGAACCTAAGACCCAGGATTTTGGGTACTCCGAAATGTGTATTATATTTGCATATAGACATGTAAAAATGCAGAGTAGAGCAAATTCGGTCGACCTAGATTAACAACATGACAAAGCCATGATGCATAAAATGTGCACAGGAAGGGAAAACTGCTATACGCATGAAATTAGCATAATTGTTTGTCTTCCCATGCTCCCCTTCGATCTTAGCTTTGATGATATGACCTTTTTTTGAACCCGACAACGATTCTTTGATTAGGTGTATATACACTCAATTGAAGAATCGTTGTCGGGTTCATTTACAGAAACATAGAACATAAAAGCTGAGACCGAAACGGCACATGAGAAATAACATAATTATATTATAATTTATTCATTTGCGTAATCCATGCAGTCGGTTTAGAATGCCAAACGCGTATTAAAGAACAGTGGATGATGCCACGGATCGCTCGTCACAGCATGCATCCAATTAACGTACTTCCATGTGCCATTTCGGTCTCAGCTTCTATGTTCTATGTTTTTGAACCCGACAACGATTCTTCAATTGAGTGTATACACCGAAACAGCTCAAATATCTACTCTACGGATTGGGTTAACATCCAGACAAACGAAGCATTACATCATTACATTCACCGTCATTGATATTCTCTTCCTTATGCCGACTTAACAGGTTCGTTCAAAGTTGGGAATACTGTTCCGTAACGCTACAGACATCACAGAAATTCAAGTAAAGAAGTTCAGAGAGGGAAGCGTGTATGCAGAGTTTACAGTCTCTCTCACAAACAATACCAACATAACACAAAGCTATTTCACTACCGCCCTGAACAATACCAACAGCTCCCTGGATATCTACAGCTCCCAGCCCCCGAGGACTATCGCAGCAGACATAGAACTTACAAGTTTTGTCTGGAAAGAAAACTATGCTATTTCAAGCAGTTGCGACTTCTCGACAGTTACCAAAGAAATTAAGGAAAGTTTGTTTAATATCTACAAGTCGGTCCCAGGACTCATCGACCTGGAGATGTTGGATTTGAAGAAGGCTGGTGATGAGAAGGGCAATGTCGAATTCAAGATGCTATTAGACTCTGCTTCAGACGTTAAAGTTGAAGATTTGGAGCAAATGGTTAAGAGTAACAAAGGTGGACTATTGATAAGATATCATCACAACAGATCTAAATTAGAATTTGAGATACTTATGTCATGTAATTATATAGCAATGTTGATGCCACATAAGACGTCATGCGCCAACCAGACATATCAATCATTGAGAGTGTCGTATTTCCCTGTGTCTGTTGTCTGCGAGGCAGACCCACGAGTTAACATCGTCCCCGTATCCTTCCTCGATTTTCCAAAGTTTTTCTTTTTTTACTTGTCTTGTTTTCTTGTTTTTTGTTGGTTTTTTTTTTTTTTTTTTCCTTTTTTTATTTTATTTTTTTTTATTTTTTTTAATTTTATTTCCTGCTTCAAAAATGTCCATGTCGAATTCAATGTAAAACGACAGCCTTTTTGTTTGCCACTTTTCTGCACAATCCAAATATGCAATTGATCATACCATATATATGGAGTGAGCTTTCTCTACTCCAACTTCGACACTAAGATATAGAGTAAAGCTTGATACGGATCGATTGTCTGGTCACACAAAGCAACTTCTGATGAGCTTTTGTAAAAATGCATGGTTGACATATCTTATATTCTATATTTTATTTCAAAAAATCATGTATATATTTTTAAAACAAATCATATGCTAAAACATAAATTGGTTTTGCTAGTAAACATGAAGTATCGCTATAGCTGGGTTACACTTGACGTCATTTTTGACCGAATAGTAGTCTCTTTCGGCCTCATGATAGGCTATAAGCCAGTTCACAGTTTAAGAATCGATTCCACTGCGCATGCGATTTTATCCCGAATTTCTCACCTTCTTTTGACAAAACCTTCTTTTGTTCTCAATTAAACAAAAGAAGGTGAGAAATTCGGGATAAAATCGCATGCGCAGTGGAATCGATTCTTAAAATATAAACTGGCTTATTGACTGCTGGACCTTTGGCGCTTCTGTTCTAATTGTTAAATTATAAGGTTGTGTAACGAAACGTGTTATTTCAAGAGCCATTTTTAGTTTACATCCTTCTTGGTGTTATTAGGCATTACTAGGATGAGGAAAAGATTGCATCGAGTTGTTATTGCAGTGCATTTTGAGGCTGTTTTAGTGCACATATTTCCAAGATGGCGTCTCTATTGCCTCTCTAAAACAGCCCCAAATTGCACTGCAATTCCAGCTCGTCCCAGTTTATCTCTCAATTTCGGAAAATAATATGCTACTTAAAGAAATTCATCTTGATAATCATATTTTCGTTTGATCAGCAGGAAAATCCTTAACTGGAAATATGCAGTTTGGCGAAGTATCTATGAAAGAAGTAACGATCGCTTCAGATACAGATGATGGAAGAAAACCGTCCTGGGTACTAATACTGGTCGCGTTTTCATGTCTTGCAATCTTTGCTCTCATCGTCTATTTTGTATACCGGGTAGGTATCTCACTTTTATATTCAGGGGTGAAGACAGGATTTTCCGAAGAGGGGGGTTAGGTAAATTTACAATTTCGCCATTTTGTTTCCCAAAACGCGGAAGCAAGGAAGGGGACCGACATTACGTTGTGCGTTTTATTTTTTCAAAAAACAAAAAAAATTTTGAAATTTGCGTATAAAATCTAAAAAGTCGCCATTTGGGGAAGGGGGGGAGGGGGAGTAACTGGCCCTTTCGAGGAGGAATGGGGTTGACTGGTCCTGTTGCCCCACTGGCTACGCCCTTGACATTGAGTTTCCTATACCATAAAGTAGAATCTCAATATCTCAATATACTCAATAGTGTTAACTTTTGACAAAACTGGTTTTTAAAGCCAGTTATGTGAGACTCCTGAAGGGGTAAAATGGCAACTGGGATTTGCCTAGTTTGTTCTGGGAAAAATAAAGTAGGATGTAGGTCATTGGGAATGGGGGAAAACAACAAAATGGTAACGAGAAAAGGTTTTGCAAGAAAAGTATTTGGGATGACGCTGGGAAGTGGAATTCGAACAACCAAATTGGATCGATTGGGAATAGGAATGTCACCCCCTTGAACATCCTATTAAATCGAAATTGAAGGCTGAACAAAAGAACTGTACTAGTCATGAATTCACATTCCTACGATCGTGATAATATCTTTTCAAAGAGTTTATTTGGCTTAATTGGTGGCGTGCATTCCTTCCCATGAGAATCAAAGGAGAAAAGACGTGGCCGCCATGTTGGATGACTTGAAACTAGACACAAATCTCTTGTCAAAGTCAACCAATATGGCGGCCATGACGTCATTAGAGACGTTTGCATGTAAAATTGCAGGGATGCCTTTTTTTACTTTGAGCTTGGACATTTTTGCATTTTTTCTTCTGAGAAAACTAATAGCTCGTGTTCGTTTTTGATTTTCTCATTTTATCCTTGTCAATACTGTGCTATTTGTTGATCATTCCAGGTGATTGCTCAAAGTTTTGCTCAGCCAAAGTTTAAGTTGGCTAACAATGACTGATCCAAACTGCATCCAAACTGCACATGGATGTAATACAGGAAAGTGTTGATAATGGAACATGTTTACCCAAGTGTTTGAAACTCGCAAAATATGCACGCAGCATGCAATAGGGGTTTTGCACCACCATGTGACGGCAGCCATGTTAGATGGCAGGAACAATACAATCGTTTTACATAAGAAAGAATTCAATTCCCGAGAGCAAAGGGATTTTATTGTTCTTCCATCTAACCACAGGCAGCCCAAGCTGTATTATGGGAGTAAGCACGTGATGGTGCAAAACCTCTATAGACCTTTACCAACCTTTTTTGGGGCATTTGATATTTTTCTCTTATTCTCTCTTCTTTTTTGAAATAGCTGTATTATGCTCAATGTAGATTTAAATATAAAAGAACTGGGGATTGAGAGAGGTAAGGAAGGCGGAATAACTTCAACACATGAAAAATAAAAATAAATAAATGAAAAATTGTCGGGGAAAAAAGAAACTGAGTAACAAAACCAAAAAAATAGACTTCAGACAGAATATTTGACCATCAGTCTTAAGTTGATTTGTGTTTATTCTACATAGAAACTCGATGAGCACTACATTAAATTATGTCAGATTTAAAATTGACAACAGTTTTCTCCAGTTATATGATTTGAACCTTGCCAGGGGCGGATTCGAAGTTTGGATTGAAGGTGTTGGTTTTCCCATACACACAGGGGCGTAGCGAGGACCTAGGAGCTGGGGGGGCACTGATCCAAAATAAGAAAAAATTTCAAATTCTCACGTGCAGATTCCAGGCTCTGACCGGGCTCGCAGTGCACAGGCAGCCCGTCCGGATAACTCCGTATAAATTCGCACTTTTGTAGGTTGTAATAATTTATTTTCCTCTTTCGTTTCGGTTTAATGTTTTTTTTGTTGTTATTCTTTTTTCAAAAAAATTTTTTTCAAAAATTTTGGGGGAGCACGTGCCCCCCCGTGCCTCCCCTCGCTACGCTACTGCATACACATGTCACCATGGATATCCCTTGTTAAAACTCTCTGAACTGCCTCTTATAGACCTTATGCAAAAATATCCGCCATTGTCTTCGAAAAATAAAAACTGATTTCTTGAAAAAAATAACCACCATCAGAAAATCAAACAGAAATATTTATTTATGGAATTCCAGTGAAATTATTTGGAATCATATTAGATTAGTGTGTGTTCGGTCAACTGAGGACTGACCACAGGAAGCCCATACAATCTTGCATGGGCTTCCTGTGGACTGACTAGCGTTTAAATTCCATAACTCTTAAAGAATGTAATATTTGTACCTCAAGCTTTCTAACTTTGTTAATATCATTCGAGTCAGTTGATTTCAATGTAGTGCTTAATTAATACGAATTTTGAAAAAAATGATAATGTAGTGGCGGTCATATTCACATTCTGATTTTTCTCTGTGAAAAACTCCTAAAAATAGCTCTTGGCACCAATGAGTCTGTAAGAAAAATAACGGTAGCTCTTGAGTAGATTATTTCTGAAAAAAGTTGCATTTTCTGGTTAAATATCTACGAGTTATTAGCCATTCCGAGATTGAGGAAAATACTTGGTCGATTTGGCATTTCGATGCATTGTGGGGACTGTATAAGATGACAAAATAAACGCCATCTTGGAAATATGTCCTGTAAAACATTCCCACAATGCACTGAAATGCCAACTCGACCCAGTTTCCTGTAAACTTTTGAATGTCTGAAAACTTAGGAGGCACAAAGCCTTTTGATTGAAATCAATGTACTAGGCTAAGATAACATTTATCCAAATGCATAGTACATATCAGTAGTGTAGCCAAGTTTCTCCAGATTTGGTATGCAAGCATAGTTAATCATGGGGGGTGGGCCACACATCAGGATTTGAGTGTCAGGTCCAGGGGGAGGAAGGTGCTCTTTGATCATGTCTGCATTGACAAAACCTGAACTGTAAGCCCAACCTGAAACATACAATTAAAGTATATATATATTCATCTGTAAAACGTTTTAAAAGAAAGATCAGATACAAAAAGATTGGATATTTTGACGATCTCATGTCGTTCTCCTTAACAAAATTTTCTTTTTGATTTTTAAATTTGGCTGAGAATGAGGACCTCGAAATGCCTAATATTTTTGCCCAATATTTGATTGATGGCAGTATACTGTCCAATTTCCATGTTGTGCCTGTCTTTTCTGACAGCACATAGCAATGAAAACAGTGGTAATGTGGCCATCTGGACCTTTTCGGCTTGGGTGTAATGTTTTCCCATTCCAGATCACATGTAATTCTCTGTAGATAGGATTCTTTGGTTGAGTTGAATCCATATTCGTGTGTTTTATCATGTACAACCGTTAAACAAAGAAATGATACTCTAGGGAATGACACGTGGTCTTCAGAATAACATCCTTTGTTTGAGTTGAATCCATATTCGTGTGTTTTATCATGTGCAACCATTAAACAAAGAAATGATACTCTAGGGAATGACACATGGTCTTGAGAATAACATCCTTTGTTTGAGTTGTATCCATATTCATGTGTCTTCTCATGTGCAACCATTAAACAAAGAAATGATACTCTAGGGAATGACGCATGGTCTTGAGAATAACATCCTTTGTTTGAGTTGTATCCATATTCATGTGTCTTCTCATGTGCAACCTTTAAACAAAGAAATGATATGCTAGGGAATGACATGTGGTCTGAAATGGGAAAACATTACCCCCAAGCCAAAAAGGTTCTCCTAGATGTTGGGTATGTAAATTAATGCATTTATTGTTGAGGTATAAGTTGAGGTACTGTAAAAAGTACTGAAAAGTTTCTTGTTCTTACCTTCAGATGGTCTATCCAGAGTGTACCACAGTTTAAACCTGCCATTAGGACCCTCTTCTTTCTCCAATGCCTCTAACTCCTCGCGAACAAGAATATCTCTTTCTGTCTATAAATTAAACGCATAGGATGTTAGTAGAGCACAATACAGTGTAGCCAAATTTCGAGATATGCTTCGCTTGTCACACACAAAGGTTTCAGTGTAAAGTTTTGTGCATAATGAGCAGTGCGTAAAAAGTTGAAAAGGCTGATATTATGCATATTGCAGTATTGCAGTTATCAAATATTGATTTAAGTTACTGAACGAAAATATTTTGTCACTCTTCACGCAGTGTCTGTATGAAAACACTCTTCAAATGCCCAGGATATTGACTACCCAGAATACAACTCGCTCTTAGCTTCATTGATCTAACCTTTTCAAACCGAAAATGATTTTTTCAATAATAGTGTACAGTAGTTGGAAATCTAATGCAAGCGTTTTTAAGAGTTCTTTTACAGTACCTGGTTAGCAAAAAGTAAAGAAACCTGAGTGGTGTCTCCTTGATCTTTGACTATAGCTGCTATGATCTGTAGCATAGGAGTGATGCCTTAATGAAATGAAATCAGTCAACATTAGATTTATCTGTTTCCCATTTTCCTGCACTTCTAGGGCATACGTTTTTGAGCGGGAATGGGACAGAAATAGCTAAATATATCTGCCCAACTTGTTAGGCCCATCCCTAGTTTACTGTAGCTTTGAAATTTTAAAATGAAGTTTTGAAATTTTCTTTTATATGTTATAAATTATATGTGTAAATCGATATTCATTATTAATAATACTTAATAATATCTATTAATTGTAAACAATTAGTATCTGTAATAGGACTCCATGCTGTCCAATTAAGAAATAATTGGACAAGGAAAATTCCGAGGACTGACTAAAATTGGATGAGGCTGTAGGCCGAGTCCAACTTAGCAGTCAGAGGAATTTATCGAGTCTAATTATTTCATGATTGGGGAGCATGAAATCCCATTACCTATTAATTATATAGCTGCCTAATTAATTCCATATCAACAAGACCCTGTTCAATTAAGAAAATAATTGGACAGTTACCTATAAGGGATTAATGAGACACTATATAATTCTCCTCTCTGTTTTTTATTTGCATCATAATATTGATATTATTGTAATAATAGATGTCTGTCTTTCCTTTTAACCTGCCTTGAATACCCTTAAGCTACTTGCAGGTGAAAGTGTAACTATAAGTCTATTAATTGAAAACAATAAAAAAATTTATTGTCAAATTTCAAATGGCAGCTCCAATACACCCCCAAAAAATGACAATAAACTAATGATAATTAGAAAAATAATCTTAATTGACCATCCCTTTTTCACTATGTAAATATTTGATGGCCTTCCCGTTAACTTCTTCGCACCTCCCCGCCCCCCTCTAAAAAAATAAATGCCCCTTAGGTGCACTTCATAGCAGTGACACAAAAATTAATGAGTAATTGCAATATTAATGCAGCAATAAGAAGGCATGATTTTATTTTAAGTTCACTGTTCTATGTTCTCCTTCATGAGAAAAATGGTGAGTCACATATTTACAAAAAAAACTTAACTGAACAGAAAAGATGAAAAAACAGAAACCACTTTATAACATTTGCCTGGATAACTTGATGGGAGACACTTTAATGTCTTAGATTATCAACAAAAAAAAAACAAAAAAAGAAAAGAAAAGAAAAAATAACATCATGTTTTGATGTTAACAATTACTTGCTGAAGGAGAAGTGAATATCAGGGAATATAAATATTTCTCCGATACTCACTGAGGCTGAGGCAAATAATATTGTATTAGTATAAACACACAGGTGATTCTTTCAAAAAAAGGGGGGGGGGGAAATGATAAAAGACATTTTTTCTGGTAACAGCAACAAAGTGGCTGGCCGCCATTTTGGATTATCGCTGGAGGCGATTATCATGTGATAGTATGAGTTTCTCAACCAGTCAGCGTGTGAGATTTTCAACAATCACCCGTGTATTTTTACTAACAGTTTATTCAATACCACAAAGAACTGTGAAAGAGACTATTTCAACAGCTTTCACAACACCTCAGTTTTGCAGTGCTGTTATTTCTACATATCACTATTTCAAAACAGCTGACTAGTACTGATATATTTATTCAATTTGTCATCGCCGAATTCCATTACCTGTTCCCCCAGAAATAAGACCAAGGTGTTTTGCTTTCCGAATGATTTCTGGTTTACGTTGGCTTTCTTTAATGGCAATAGTACCTAAGTAAAAGGACAAATGAAATTTGAATCATAATAACTACTCATCTCTAATAAGCTTTTTTAACACTATTACCCTGCATTTTGTTATATCATCCAACATGGTTATTCATTGTACAGGTATGTAAGCTACAGTATATAAGGGACTGTTCAATTTTTACTGGCATGGGAGAT